AGTTCATTCTTTCATTCGTTCGTTCCCTCCCTCCCTCCCTTCCTTCCTCCCTCCCTTCCTCCCTTCCTTGTATTTGAACTTCCCTGCTAAAACTAAAGGAGAATTAGGTTATATAACCTCCTTTATGAGCATTTATCAGTTTACCTCTCTCTGTATTAATTGCTCTTTTATTCTCTCATCTCTTGTGTTGTTCTTCCAGCACAAACAGCTAGAGAGTTACCAGTGCTGTTGATTCTTATTTCAAACTCTGGCTTACATATCTCTTTCTTTATGTCTACTGTCACCAATCTGTGACCCTAATCATTCCTTGACCAGGCCATTCCATTAGTCTCTCATTCATTGTACAAGACCTCTGGTCTTTTCCCCACTTACTTCATTTTACAAATAATTGCCAGATTTTCTTAGAATCCTTCATTGACTTCCTTTCATCTAAGCAGTGGTTTTTAAAGTGTGGTCTGTAGAACCCTAGAACCCAAAGGTCCCCTTGATCTGCTAGGTTAAATTTATGTTCATAATAAAACTTGCCCCTACACTGGCCTCCCATTTTTTACTGTGTTGACATTTGCACTGATGGTGCAAAACCAATTGTGAGTAAAACTGATGTGGCAGCAGGAATCAAGGCAATGGCACCAAACTATACCAATAATCATTGCTTTTTGCTCTGCCACATACAGTAGGGAACATAGAGCCAGAATATACTTGACTCACTGAAAATCTTTAATTTTATGCAATCTCAGCCCCAGAGTTCACATCTTTTTAACATACAGCTGCACATGAAGCATGATGGTTATCACCACAGAAAACATTTGTGCAAAATGAGTTGCAAGCTGAACTTGCCACTTGTTTTTCAGGGAACACCATTTTTATTCAAAAGAACAACTGAAAGACAAACTATAGTTATTCAGTCTTGGTTTGGTAGACATTTTCTGGAAAAAGAAAGACATCAACCTGCCATTTAAGGGGGAAAGAAATAACAGTATTTATTGCCAATGGTAAAATTCAAGACTAAAAATGAAAATGAGTATTTTTGAAAACTTGAATCTGTCACTACTTCTCAGTAATTAAAGATTTTTCTTATGAGATCAATACTTTCCTAAAATTTAATGAATGTGATTTTTTGATACTATATAATGAAAGTTTCAACATTTAGAAAATCTGCAAAACTAAAGGAACCAATATTTTCTAAATAATCAGTGCATAATGTTACAAACTGATACATATGGGTAAAAGGTCCATTCAAAGGGGCAAAGTAGACCAATGATTTTTAACTTAACAGAGTATGAAAAGTTCATCGAGGTGTGGTGTCAGATTACATATTTTACTCACTCTTAAGCAACTGTTCATCAGGTTTTGGCATAGCATTTAAAAAAGATGATCCACAATTATCTAAAAATGCTATTAAAATACTCTTCCCTTTTCCAACTACATGTGTGTGTGAGTCCAAGATTTTCTTCATCTACTTCAACCAAAACAACATAAATTAGATTGAGGGTTGAAACATATGTAGAAACCCAGCTGTCTTCTATTCAGTCAGACTTTAAAGGGATTTGCAAAATTTAAAAGAGTGTTGCTCCTCTAACTTATTTTTCTCTTTTTGGAAAACTTACATCTCATTAAAATGTGTTATTTATATTAATATGCATTATGTTTGTTAAATGAATAAATATTTTTAAATTTCTAATATAACTATAACATACCACATAAACAAAAGCTCTTTGAAGTCCTCAATAATTTTAAGAGTCTAGAGGGTTCCTGAGATTTTAAAAAATATATTGAAAATTACTAGTGTATATTATAATATCCAATCTTACAGCAGCGCTTTTCAAGGAAATCCATTCAGTGACCTCTGATCCTTTTTAATGTTTCTAAAATTATTTAATTTTTGTAATAAGACCGTCATCCAATGTACTTAGTTTCCATGTAGGAATGGGGCAGGGTAAATCTAATTTTTTCCCGAATTTTTAATTAAGATTCTTATTTGTAACTCTAAGTTAGTTTTCCTTTTCTCTAGTGAATTTTAGACACTAAGTATAATTGGAAATCAAAAATTAGAAGTATGTCACTAGAGCAAGAGAGAGAGAGATTGAGGTTGATTGGTAGACTTGGTAAGGTGAAATAGGGCATTAATCTAAACTTGGCCTGTTAATATAGTCTCAGTACACAGGCTTTTCAAATGTACTATTAAACCTTATTTAGCCATAGAAATGGGGACATGATAGAATGAATAAATTAAATCTATAGGTTATTTTAAAATCTATTTTATCTTGTTATTTAAAATGTTTTTTTAAACCTTAATCCAGAAGTGCTCAAAAGAACCCTCTCCCCCAAAACACTTATTCTAACTTCTTGTTTTCTTCTTCCTTTGTATGCATCTCATAAAATTATCAAAAAGTGGGCACAGAAATAAACAAAAAGGAGTGAATCTATAAAATTTATAGCATGGCTAATCAAGCTCACAATTTAGACAAAAAAAATATAGAAGTATTACTCCCTACTTCATAAAACCTTTAGCTCTGGGGAGTTCTGGGTCCCAAAATGCTGTTTCACAATACCATGAAGAAACTAGGAACAAAGCTCAGGCTGGGGAAAGGGAGAACCCAAGACCGTGAGTCTTTAAGAGAATTACTCAGGATGACACGTTTATAGTTTGTCAGGAAACCTGAATTATGCTATAAATATAGTATCCTATATTTTAATTTTTTTTTCCTCACCCGAGGACATTTTTTCATTTTATTTGTTCAGCTAGAGTGGGAGGGAGAGAGAGGAAGAGAGAGAGAGAGAGAAACATCGACATGAAAGGGACACATCGAGTGGTTGCCACCCGCATGACCCAGCCAGGGCCAGGGACAAACTGCAACCGAGGTAGGTGCCCATAGCGGGAACCGAACCCAAGTCTCTCTGGACCACAGGCCAACACTCTAACCGCTGAGCCAAACTGGCTAGGACCTATATTTTAATTTTTATGTACAGAGTCTGTCAATATTTTCTTGCTTAGCAAAGATCATAAGATTACTGTTCAAATTAAATTACAGTGGGCAGTTTAGGTCACCCACAGCTAACTTACATAAGAAGGTTAGTCATTTGAATGAAAACTTGTCTGGGCCACAAAACCACCACATTTCCACATAAAGTAGGTGTATCCTCTCTGTTGAGGTAGGGTTAGTATTTGCTCTGAAAATAGGCCTACATTGTGGTAAAAATCCAACGTTGTTGTTTGTCCAAACCATGTTAAGAAAATCAGCTTTGACATGGCTTTTAATTATAGGCAAGAATCTCCTATCGTGTCAAAAAGGATTAGAAGTCAGTTTCTTTGAAGCTTTTTGTGATGATTTTAGGAAATTCTGAAGTATAAAGAAAACTTTAAAATAATTTAAGTTGCTTAGAATACAGGGGGAGAGTTGAAGGTGGGGAAGAGTTGGTGTGGAATGGAGAAGCTGTACGTACAGCACATCCAGAGGAGATAGAAACAGGAAAATAAGGGGAAAACAGTGAACTTGTCCAGCTAAGCCATAGTTACATGATTGTTTCTTTGACTTCGAATTATTTTGGAGATTAGCTGATAAGCTCCTCCAAACATGTAGAGCAACACATTTAGGTAGACTTTTAGAAAGAATAGGAAGTTAAGCCCAAAGAAGCGTTGAAGATAGTTTTGGACAGCCCTGGCCGGTTTGGCTCAGCGGTTGGAGCGTTGGCCTGTGGACCAGAGAGTCCCCAGTTCGGTTCCAGCTAGGGGCATGTACCACAAGGAAAAAAAAAAAAAGATAGTTTTGGACACATAAGGGGCTGTAAGAAGATAGACTTATTCCTAACTACCCTAATTACTGACTTGTTATTTACTTTCTATAGAACTCAGTCTATAGATATGCATATATGCATATTTGAGTAATTATGGTATAAAATACCTAGGATCTCATTTTAATTTCCTTGTAGTCAGTCAATAACAGGAATACCTATCATCTTGTGATAAAAAACTAAAAGTCTGTAGAAAGTAATAGTAATAAAAACACTCATCTAATAGATAAAATGTGCTTATTTAAAATGCGCTCAGGGGTGTTTGTTTTTTAATTTCTTCAGTTTGAGGTACTCCTCTAGCATAATAATTAAACAGTAATAAATGGTGCATTTTAAATGAATATACCTGAAAGGAATTCGTCCTTCATGGCTAAAGAAATTTTACTATATATAGAACTGTCATAATAAAAGTCTTTATTTAATGGATCTAATGTGTACTTATGATTAAGGTATGTTCTAAGGTTTACAACAGCCCAAATGAGTGAATAGTTTATATTTAAAAAAAATTTAAGTAACAAAGTAATAGTAACTACTTGTATTTTATAGGGAAATGAGACTTTTAGAAGAGTTGAGACATTTAGCTTTGACATTGTATACCTCCACCTCTAAGAGACATGATGGTAATGTTTAGATCTTTGCTTGAGGAAATTGCTTCCTATGATTTTAAGGTATTACTGGCCTCTAGTGGTAATATGCTATAGTTTAGACATTTCTATTTCTTATGAGTGACTAGAAATAAAGCCATTTTAAAGGTCTAGGCTGCCAGCGACTTCACTCTCTCACTTTTGGGTCAACAGTACTCTCAAAGTGTGCATGTGACATCATCTTCCTCCTAAAGACCAGGGGCTCTATCTTTTGTTCTTGTCTGAGTCACCCTCACCTCTTTATTTTGAATAATACTTGTTTAGCTCTTAATTGGCCTTTCATTATTTTAGTGCATATACAGCGGTGATTACTGTATCAATTTATGCTAACAATTTTTCCTAGAGTGTTTCAGCCCTCTTTTCTGTAGACTGTAGACCAATTTTCACTTCTGTATATTAACAGTTTTTATTTTCTTAAGAGAAAGTTGAAGTTTTCAGTTTACCATTGAGATTCATGTTTAGACTCATCTCTATTTAATTTGATTTTGAAGAATCTTACATTTTAAATACTAGTTTGCTAAGCAGGATAATGATTTGTCACTTTTGTTCATGTTTGTCATACAGATGTGAAAGGGCCACCTACGCACCGTCTGTCTTGTGGCCAGTCGCCCTACACTGAGACGACAACATGGGAGCGGAAGTATTGCATCCTCACGGATAGCCAGTTGGTGTTGCTCAACACGGAGAAGGAGGTGAGATGGAATTACTGAGAAAAGCTACTTCTCTTTTCTGACCAAATTCCTGAAATAATCTAGTTTTTGTTTGCATTTATGAAAATGGAGGTTTTATGAATGATAAAATATAAGTAAGGCTGCTAATGTCATAATGATATGGGACTGCCATGAAGAAGTGAGTCCTTCAACAAGATAGGGTTGTATTTCTCTAAGAAACGGTGAAGGAGATATGAGTTGAGTAATTTGGCAGAACAGTTGGATTGTGTAGACCTGGCCCTGGAAATGGTCCATATGGCCTATAGGAAATTATGTCAGTCTAGCTCCTAATAAGTAACAAATTGGACAGTCACTGGGTTAATTGAAAAGACTTAATGAAGGGACTATTTACAGAGGTGTTGACCACAGAAGGGACCTACCAAAGGGCAGTGAAACACCCATGAACTAGCAACAGCAGAAAGCAATTTTCACTCCAAGTTGTGGGAAGGGAGCAATGTGTCTGGAACCCAAAGAATTATAGTTGCATGAGAGGGCCCTACACAGAAGAATACAGCCTCTACCAATAGAATAATGGCCAGCAAGGAAGACACGGGAGCATAAATATCCCAGTGCTCTTCTCCTGAATTCGGAGTTTTTGCCAATGTTACCTACTGGCCAAACTTAACTTGAAGTCAGAGGGAAAGAGTACTCTTGATGTGTTCTATAAAGGTTTGCTTCCCGAAACACACAGCAAGGGAGAGAAGGGCAGAGAGTAGATCTGGAGAGACATAATGTAATTAGTTCTAGTTCTAGGTAAACTTTCTGTCCCTCTAAATAAAAAAATTAAATAAAAAAAAACACTTCTTGAACTTAATGTATACTATGACTACTTTATTCCTCAGATTGTTCAGTGTATAGATCCTTCCACATCCAAATAATTAATTTGCTTATTGGTTTATCAGATAGTTGATATCATTCTGATTTGGTAGGGATATTAAACTATCCTATTCCCTACCTCCACAACATAAAAAAATGAATATGATCTTGACAAAGAAGAGGAACAATGGAAGGGAAGGAGAAGAAAATACCTGATTCAATGAAGGAAAAAGACTAATTGCCATATATATAACTAGGAACCTGTAGATAGAATATCAATTTAGTAAGTAAAATAATATTTTAATATGAAATTATTTTTAAAAGGGCATCCTTTTTTTTGGAGCATTCTAGTACATGTGGCTGTGTTTATATTAAGTAGATACATGATGAAAATTGGTAGAGTGAATATTAGTATAGAAGATTTTTAGTTATCCAGTTCGAATAAACAGATATTTCAAAATGCACATTTTAACCAGCCTACTCTGTCATCAGTTTTTAAAATCAGATTTATTAATAAAGATCAATATGAACAGGCCATTTGCCATCCTTATGCCCTTCCCTACATTTTATTCAGTTTAGTACTGTAAAAAATTTAATAGTCTAAGGATAGATAGCATAAACATGTGTTATCTAGACCCAAGATATAATCCATTGGTTAGATATTACTAATCAATTGCATAATCCAGGTCTGGGTCCCCTTTTTTCTCATAAAATAACTGTCCATGGTGAATAATTTTCCAAAACAGTTATCTTAGGTACTTTCTGCCTTTTCATGCTGGTCATCATGGGTAATCCTAGACGCTTGAGGGACCCCTCCTCTCCCACACTCGACTGTGGCTCTCTACATCTCCTTTTCTGTGCCTGCCATTCACTCATTCTTTCCTATCTCTTGGAACCCTTTCACTATGCCCATCAGCAGAAAACTCAGCTTCCAGCTCTTCTGGAATGAGCCCCTCAATTTCTTAGTTTCATGAGAACGTGTGTCTTCACTGAGGACACTGTCTTCTGTGAGGTCCTATTAAGTGCTGGCTGTTTTTCTCCCCTGGCCCTCAGACCATGCTGCCTATAGTAGGTGTCCTTCTCCTTCCATGACTGCTTTCTGTCTGTTCTCTCTCATTTCCTCTAAAACACCCAAACTCTGAATCTCATATCGTAGTTATTTTCCAATCTCCAGTCATCCTCCCCTCCCCCTGGCACTCTCCCCCTCTTTTTCGGTTGATATTTGCTCCTGGCTCGTTGTCATTATCTTCAACACTATTCCAGCCTTAAATTGTGATTCTGTATCTAGAGACATGATTCTTCCAACACATGGCTGTCAGTTCTTTGAACTCCTTTTCTTCAAAAATCTTTTCCTTTATCCTGCCTCATTGCCACAACTTTTTCATATGCTGAATTGCATGCATGTTGCTCTATGACCATCACCTCCTATCATTCTAGCTCATCTCTAATTCCAAAAACCTTTCAATCCTTTTGTGACCTATGGTCCATTGATCCTGTCACCTTATCTGCCCCTCATAACTCTGATATCCTTCCTCCCTCTTCATCCAACCTGAATTTTATGGTCAGTCATTGTCATTGCTCCCTTGCACATTATTTCCTTGCCCTTCTCTCGCATCATCATACTTACTTGGCAGTGAGATAGCTCAGTTAAATCCTGCTCCTCATCTCCCCTCTCTACTTCCATGCTGCATAATGTGTCTGGAGAAAATCACTCCACCATGCTGATGGTCTTTAAACTAATGGCTGCAAGCCTCATGTGAGCCCCTAATGCTGCTTGGCAATTACAAAACGTTTTTCTAGTCCAATTATTGTCCAGCACTTCTGAATGAGTGCTTCTCAATCTGTGTGTGGTGAAGGACCAGTTTTTTTCTCCCCACCTTGTTGTGAATAATAAAATACAATAGAATGAACTAAGAAAAATGAAAATTTAAAAAGACAGAATTGCTCTTGTTGGGTTCACTGGTGACCGCCAAATTACTAAATTCAATGGTCAGTTCTCATCTTACCTAATTTGTCAGTGGCATTTAATGCAGTTGATGGCTCATTTCTTCTTCTAGAACCACTCTCTTCACTTGGTTCCCATGACACTGTGCACTCTTAGTTTTCCTTCTGCCTCTCTGGCAGTTCCTTGAGTCATCTTTGCAGATTTCTCCAAATCTTCACAGGGGAGTGCCAGAGTTCAGTCCTCCAACCTCACTTTCTTAGGAATCTCATTCAATCTATGACTACACATTCTCTAATGCTGATGATTCCTAATTTTATGTCTCAAGCCTATATACATCTCTATTGTCTAGACTTGTAATTCCATATGCTCATTTCATACCTCTACTTGGATATGTAATGGTCCTTTCCAGCATGCCCCACACTGAGCACCTAATCTTCTCTCCCAAGCCTGCCAGAGATCATCTCCATCTTCTTTAATGACAGCTCCATCCTTCTACATTTCAGCCACTCTGGCTTGGGTACTGTCCTTGACCACATCAGGCATGTTCCTGCCTCAAGGCCTAGGCCTTGGCTTTTCCCTTGAGAAACTGGAATTACTCACTTTCTCATCTCCTTCAACTCTTTGCTTATATGTCACCTACTTAATAAGGCCTACCCTGACCAACTATTTAAAATTGCAGCCCCTTCTTATATCTTCATTCAGAACATCTGATCTAATTGCGTGGCTCTAATTTTTTTTGTCCCATAGCATTTGACACCTTCAAAAATGCTATAGGATTTATTTATTAATGTTTATTGTCTTTCTTCCATTACTGGAATGTAGGCTTTAGGGCAGAGAATTTGTCTGTTTTGTTCAATTCTGTATCTCTCGGTGCTTACAATAGTTCTTGACATATAAGTAAATTCTCAATATATGGTGAATCGATTTTGAAAAAAGCCAAATTATAAACTTTGATTCCTGAAGATCCCTTTTCTTAATATAAGTTTGAGAGGTGAACCTTTTATTTCATCTTATGTGTATGTGATAAATCTTCCCATAACATGAGACTTAATCCCATGTCTTTTTTTAAAACTAGATAATAAAAGAGAATAAAAATAATCCATAAAATGCATTTTCATTCTTGATATGTGATTCCATTTGTATTTTTTTCACTATAAAAGATAATTTTCTAAACGTATTATTTCTCTTTTATTTTTTTGAATTTTTATGTTTATTTATTTTTGTTAGATGTTTCTCCTTTTCCCCCCCATTGACACCCTCTTCCCAATCCCGCCCCCTCCCCCAGCATTATTGTCTATGTCCTTGTTTACATATATATGCATAAAAATTCTGTGGTTTGTCCCCCGCCCCCCACCATCCACCTCTCCTGAGGTTTGTCAGTCTGCACCTCACTTCCATGTCTCTGGGTCTATTTTGTTTGTCAGCTGTTTTGTTCATTATATTCCACAAATAAGTGAGATCATGCGATATGTGTCTTTCTCTGATTGGCTTGTTTTGCTTAGGCTAATACTCTCCAGGTCCCTCCATCTCATCTCAAAGGATAAGAGATCTCTCTTTGTTATAGCTGCATAGTACTCTATTGTGTAAATGTATCACAGTTTTTTTATCCACTCATCTATTGATGGACACTTGGGCTGTTTCCAGATCTTAGCAATTGTAAATAGTGCTGCTATGAACATAGGGGAACATATATTTTTTCTGATTGGTGTTTCAGGTTTTTTAGGGTATATTCCTAGAAGTGGATCACTGGGTCAAATGGAAGTTCAATTTTTAATTTTTTTAGGAAACACCATGTTGTTTTCCATAGTGGCTGCAGCAGTTTGCATTCCCACCAGCAGTGTACTAGAGTCCCCTTTTCTCCACACCCTCACCAGCGCTTGTTGTTTGATGATTTGTTGATGGCAGCCATTCTGGCAGGTGTGAGGTGATACCTCATATTTATTTAAATATGCATCTCTCTGATGATTAGTGACGCTGAGCATTTTTTCATATGTCTCGTGACCATTTGTATGTCCTGTTTGGAGAGGTGTCTGTTTAGGTCCTCTGCCCATTTTTTAATTGGGTTCTTGGTCTCCCATCTGTATTTATTGAGCACCAATTTATTACATGTACAGTATCGTGATTGCAAAGTTGCAAGTTTGGGGGGACATATTCTGGTAAATTGAAAGTTATCACCATTTGAAACTCCATACAGGTGGTGTTTGCACCACATCGTGAATGT